AAAATGTTCCTTAGGTTAGTGTGAATTAAGTTCCAGCGATTCGAGATAAACTAATTTTTTCTTTCATATCTGCACTATGAATAAAAAATCCTGGAATTATCGTCGAATTATTACTATTATAATTCAATCGTAATTCAAAATTTATAAAGCATATATGATGTTCTATTGAATCTATATTGAGATTTTTAGAATTTAGTGTCTTTGATGTTAAAAATCATTTCCTAAAAATTTCAATGATATATCGCGAACAATCTCGTGTTTTAAATAAAGTTCATCAAAAATAGATATTTCAAGTAACCAAGAATATAGTCGACTCAAGTAAATAAATTATAATAAATCAGAAGGAGCTGCTATTGATATTGATTTCATTAGAATTTTTTATTCAAATATGTGTAAACGTCACATAACATATCGAATTCTAGATAAAGATCAATCCCAGTAGTTCTCATTTGAAGTCAAGTCAAAAATAATGAAAAGAATTTTATTATTACTAATTTCAATTTCTGTGGTGAATAAACACCGAATATTTCTTACTTTTTCAGTACATTGTATTTTTTGTCATGAATTAAATCTTTTATCTATTCAGATTGAACAATTCGACAATCAGATTCTGTCGGATATGCTTGGGATCCGATAGAATCTTGTTGAAATCATACCTGAATATTAGACCTTGTTTGATCTTCCTATACTTCCTTCTTCTTATGTAATTAGGTGTAAATTAATATCTTAAACCCAATTTACCTCAACTTATTATTATTTTCAACTGCTGAATAATAAATTTAACACAAAGTAAAATAAAATAAACTACAATAAAAATTTTAAAAAAATATAATAAAAATTGAAAAAAATAAAATAAAAGTAAGACACGATAAAGTAAATTAGAAAAAATACCATAAAGTAAAAAACAACAAAATCATAATGAAAACAAGTAAACTAAAATAAAAATTAAGTTAAATTCACATAAACCCAAAATAAAATAAAATAAGGTAAAGAAAAATAAAAAAAACACAATAAAATAGATTAAATAAAATGCCATAAAGTAAAAAACAATAAAATGAAAATAAAATTAAATAACATTAAATATAAAATTTATACTCGCTTTTGACTGACTACATGCCGTAATAAAGTCTATAACAAAATAAGATAAAATGAAACAAAACAATAAAAAAAACAATTTAATTAAATTCAAATAAAACAAAGAGAAAACAAAATTTATACTCACTCTGAATTCACTTCATGCTGTAATAAAACCTGGAATAAAGTATGATCAAATAAAACACCAAACAATAGAATAACGATAAAATAAAATCAAAAATTTATATTCATTGTTAATTGATTTAATTCTCCATCAAAATCTGAAACAAAAGAAAATAATATACAGTAAAATCCAACAAAATAAAAATTAAGTTAAATTTAACTAAAATAAAACTAAACTAAAATAAAACAAAATAAGTAAATAAAATACATTAAATAAAAAGCGATCCTTTTCTACTACAGCGCCTCTAGGGATTTGATTGGTGACGGAACGAGCAAATGTAAAAGTATCTAAAATAAAATAAGTGCAATAAAATACAATAAGATAAAAAAAAATAATAATGAAATAACTGTAGATTAATAATAATAGATGAAAAAATTTATTTTTATTTTTTGTTTTCTTGAATTTTCGATCATATTGTTGGGATGTTCATCAGAACAATATATAATAACATAAATTGGATCAAGTCGAAAAGACAAGAACAAAATAGGTTTTTTTTTGATTTACTGTGAGTCATTTATGACTTTTTTCATTATTTTAATGAGATCAAAAATTTTATTCTTGTATAAAATAGTCATTTATTCCATATCGTATTATGTGTTTCGACGCTATTGCTGCACAATGATTCATGAAATATACGTATTACAGTAGCTATTTAACATGATGATTCATTGCTCTATTTAGAGATACATTTGTTTGTTCTACATGAATAATCAAAAGCTCAATTATTATTATTATAAATTGTGATTCATGTCCTGATCGACTTAGCCCTTTCAATCTTCATAATCTCTTGCGTTCTGCACACACAACAAAAAATAGCTGAATCTCTCTCTCTCTTGCTTTCTGTCGTCACAATCACTTGCGTTTGAAACCTTGCATCATTATTCATAGTCATCAGAAACGATTTGTTTCAAAACACATTGTATGATATCCGTCGTCTAAGAAGACGACAGAACGCTAAATATTTTTTTGCATTTTGCATGTCATGTCGTAGATAACATGCCGGATTGAAAGAGTTGATTGTAATATATGTGATTTAGTTTACGTCTAATAAATTCAGTTGATGACGATAGCAATAACATGATCGAGAATCCAACAAAAAGAAAAACAAAAATAATCTTTCTGATTTATTGTTATTTATTTATCCGTTGTTCATTATTAGAATAAAGTCGAAAGCTTTTCTTTTCGAGTAAGACACTCATTTATATATAATATCGTGCTGTCTTTTGATATTCTTGTTGCACATACATTTTTAATATAAATCAAATATGTTTTATTGGTATTTTATTGGCATTAAAAAATATGAATGACAGAAAAAAAAATGAAATAAGAAAAACTAGAAAGTATGTTAGATGAGAAAAGAGAAAAGTTTGCAAGGATAAAAATAAAAAAAGCGAATTAGTCAAGCAAGGTAAGTGTAGAAAGCTAACTACAATAGAATGTTCGTTCGTTTGGATGATGATGAACGACACCATACTACTTCTAAACGTGTGATGCTGCTTTTGTATTGTTCGTCCTACAAAGAAAATAAAGTTCTTTGTGCAATCCCTACGGGATTAAAATCAGCACTATGTTATTACTACATACCTAATTTAACCCTGACCACAAAAAGCAACACAATCAGGACCAGGATAACTCTGAGCACAACTACTAGTAGGATAATAGATCTGATAGATCTTACCATCAGTACAATTCTTAACGTTATAAATCTTATTAGCGTTAGAGCAAGTACAAGTAGCACAACTACAAATAGTATCCGGGCAGTCAGTACAGTCTTGGGTCCGAAGTATATGAGCGAGAAGACGACGAATAGCCAAATCATCATCATAAGTTGGTGCTGCTTGTACCATGCAGATTGTTATCATCAATGTCAAAAAGGCAATTAAACAAGCCATTTGAATGGTCTTTTGCATTGTCGTTTGTTGCTGTTCGACGCTGAGGGGAAAATAGTAGATAAATATGAGCAAGTATGTAAATGGTATGCTCTTGCAGTAACGGTTCGGCTTTATAATCCGAATGTTGAGAGGGAATGAGATGAATATCGACGCACACGTGCTTTTATATCCAACTGCCAATGAGTAGAAATTCCCCACTTATCGATGGGGATTCCCCACCTATTGATAGGAATGCGCACACTTATCGGTCCAAATTCTGCGCTTTTCGGTAGGAATTCCCCACCTATCTATGGGAGTTCCCCACTATCGATGGGAATTTTCGACCTACCGATGGGTATTTTCGACCTACCGATGGGAATTTTCGACCTACTGATGGGAATTTTCGACCTACCTATGGGTATTTTCGGCCTGCCGATGGGTATTTTCGACCTACCGATGGGTATTTTCGACCTACCTATGGGAATTTTTGACCTACTGATGGGAATTTTCGACCTACCGATGGGAATTTTCGACCTACCGATGGGTATTTTCGACCTACCTATGGGAATTTTCGACCTACTGATGGGAATTTTCGACCTACCGATGGGTATTTTCGACCTACCGATGGGAATTTTCGACCTACCGATGGGTATTTTTGACCTACCGATGGGTATTTTCGACCTACCGATGGGTATTTTCGACCTACTGATGGGAATTTTCGACCTACCGATGGGTATTTTCGACCTACCGATGGGAATTTTCGACCTACCGATGGGTATTTTCGACCTACCAGTAAGAATTTTCGACCTACCGATGGGAATTTTCGACCTGTCTATTATGTTCTATTTTTGTTAGAATAAATTTAATGGCAAATGTGAGGTTGTTTGAGGACAAACATAACTTTTATTTCAAAAAAGATGATCTGGCTAGTCAAATGTATATCACATATATATATGAGCATCACCAGGTATAACAAGAAAAAAAGAAACGATAGAAAGAAAAAGAAAACAAAAATAGGATGTCAATATAGATGCCGGATATAACATCCTTCTCGGATAAGGAAAAAAGTTTTTGTTTACAAAACAATTTTTTAAAGCATAATAACATAACTGTAAATGCATCAAACGAAAGAGAAAAAGAAAAAAAAACAGTAGGAACAAATTTTCATATAATATCAGGAAGGAAATATAAAGCATAAAGAAAAAAAAATACACTATAGAGAAAAAATCTGACAATAATAAAAAAATACAGCAATAGAAAGAGAAAAAAAAATTTTTTACTGTTGTTGTTTACTCTTGTATATCATTTGATCTTCTTGATAAATATTGAGCTTGACGACGAAACAAGTAATAATGACGTCGATCAAATATATCACCGAGTAATCTCCGTTCATTTTGTTGTTCAATTATTTTGTCTTTTACACCAATAAGTAATAAATCATGAACTGGTTTGACATGAGTATAATAAAAATTGTATTCAGGAAGAATATGTCGAACTAATTTCATTGTAAATCTGTAGTAGAATGGACGAGTGATAAAATATCTATAACTTTGCATTCGGAAATAAAGATTTCTTTTTCGATTTCGTCGTTTTCGAGCTTCAGCTGATCGTGTTCGACTATGTAATTGACGTTTCTTGGTTAAAGATTGTTGTTATTGTTCATAATCACTGACATCATCAACCATATCATGGTTGTTGACACGTAAATCATTATCATTTGGTGGTAATGCAGAATTTGGTTCATTATCATCATCTGATATTGCTTCATATAATGATTCATTATTATTTGGTAGCAATGCTTTATTTAATTCATTATCATCATTTGAAATTTCTTCATATAACATATCATTATTAATAGTAATTTTAATACATTAATTAACTGTTATTTCATCATCATCATCATCATCATCATCATCATCATCATCGGAGATTAATTCAATATCATCATTAATATTCTCAATTATTCGTTGATTAATATTTGTATTTGCTGAGTTGTTATTAGCTCGTGATGATGGTGGTAATGCCTGAAATGAATCAAGAATATTAATTTTTGTTACATGTTGAAATGTCCAATATAATGTAACAAGTCGAATTAAACATGTTGCTGGAAAACAATCATATATTGCGTAATGTATCATTTTATTTCTTTTTGATGTTGATAAGGTTGAGTACATTGGATCTAATTCCGTTGCCCATTCATTAACAGTAATTGACTTGTCAATAAACATTCCATATGTACAAATTAAAGCTTGTTGTAATGCTCATGGTTCATTAAGACGATAAGGACTTGATTTATGACAAGTACATTTTGATAACAAATTCATTTGTCCCTCAGAATTAATATCCTTAATAATAACATTACGACGATTTGACAAGCTACACATCTCGCAATGAGATAGTGCCCAACCATACCAATCAGCAAAATTTAAGTTGAAAATTAACCACTGATGTTTTAATTGGCCATTCAAACCATTGAAAAACAATAGCTGGATACATTTCCTTACGTAATGGTTTCCAAGAATATATGTTATTTCTAAATTTAAAAATTAATTCAAATAATTGTTTAATTTGTAAATGAATTAATGAATTACTTGGTGGTAAATGTGCAAGTTCTACTAATATAACAAAAAAATGGTAATTGTTGAGGTATTGTTTGAATTTGAATTAATGTTAATTGTTTGGTTGATTTTTCACCTTCAGTATCAAATGTAAATTCATTACAATTTCGTACATGATTAATTAATTTTTGCATTGTTTCAGTTGTTGTATATTTGTTTACATATATATAATTTCATAAAGTGATGTTGGTATATCAAATGCTGGATATTGTTGTTGATATTAATAATTATTCTTCGCCTTTTTCTGCAGCACATATCCAATTCGATTTTTGATTATTATCAAGATGAGCTGGAGAATTGTTAATATCACACAAATGATATGGAACAAATTTATCTAACATTATAATGACTAAAGAAAAGAAGATTAAACAAATTGATATAAAATAAGTGAAGAGAAAAAAAGAATAATATAAATAAGGTAAACAAATAAATCATATAATTTATCATTCGTTCTGAGGAATAAACCTATCAATATTGCATACATAGGTATCGTTAGTATATTAATAAAATATGTAATATGTGTAAAGTTAAAACATAAATAACTTTGTTTGTTGAAAACAGAAACATTTCTGAAAGAGAAGATTCCCTGTGTGTAATTTGTTTGTATTTGTAATAACCAATATTTGTTAATGCTAACCATATGCAAATAATAATTATATCGATAATTAATGCGTGCTAATTAAAATATCAATATGTTCACGAGCATAACGAGGGTGTGGGTGTGGGTATGGGTGTGAGTGTGGGTGGGTGTGGATATGGGTGTGAGTGTGGGTGTGGGTATGGGTGTGTGGGTGTGGGTGTGGGTGTGTGGATGTAGGTGTGAGTGTGGGTGTGGTGTGGGTGTGGGTGAGTGTGGGTGTGGATGTGGATGTGGGTGGTAGTGGATGGGTGTGGGTGTGTGGGTGTGGGTGTGGTTGGGTGTGGGTGTGGATGTGAGCGTGGGTGTGGGTGTGCGTGTGGGTGTGGGTGTGGGTGCGTAGGGGTGGCTGTGGATGCGTGTGGCTTAGAGCCCACCGAGTCCTACCCGGGTGGGTGCATGTGAGTGTAGGTGTGGCTGTGGCTGTGCGTGTGGGTTTGGGTGCATGGGAGTGGCTGTGGGTGTAAGTGGGTGTGGCTTAGAGCCCACCGAGTCCTACCCGGATTGGTGCATATGTGTGTGAGTGTGGCTGTGGCTGTGGTTGGGTGTAGATCTTTCTGTGGATGTGGATTGCAGACCATCGGGTCCTACCCGGTTGGGTGTCGGTGTGTGTGACTGTGGTTGGGTGTAGATCGTGGGTGTGGGTGTGGGTGGTTGTGACTTAGAGCGCACCGAGTCCTACCGTGATGGGTGTGGCTGTGGCAGTAGTTGGGTGTAGATCTTTATGTGGGTGTGAATTAGAGTCCATCGGGTCCTAACGGGGTGATTGTGCTTGTGGGTGTGGATGTGTGTGGCTGTAGCTGTGGTTCGGTGTAGATCTTGGTGTCGTTGTGGATTAGAACCCATCGGGTCCTACCCGGTTGGGTGTGAGTGCGGGTGTGTTGGTGTCGGTGTGTTTGGTTGTGGCTGTGGTTGGGCGTAGATCTTTTTCTGGGTGTGGATTACGGCCCATCGGGTCGTACCCGGTTGGGTGTGGGTATGGGTGTGGGTGTCGGTGTGGATGTGGGTGTGTGGGTGTGTGTTGGTATGGCTGTGGTTAGGTGTAGATCTTGGCGTGGATGTGGATTATAGCCCGTCGAGTGCTACCCGTGTGGATGTGGATTATAGCCCATCGAGTGCTACCCGTGTGGATGTGGGTATGGGTGTGGGTGTGGTTGGATGTAGATCTGGGTGTGCTTATGGTTGTACCCAGCTAGTTGAGGAAACGCTGTTCTACCGTTAAAACGATGTTTAATGTCACATCGTTTAAACGATGATATATTGACCAAATTACGCGTTTATCACAAAAAACGATTTTGTATGTCATAAAGTAATATTATGTTCTTGTCGTTTAAACTTCGAATTGTAAATGTCATAAATAGTGATTTGTTGACGTTAAAACCGTAATTTTTCATTATTTCATCTGTCGTAAACGATTCTTTACTTGAAAGAATGGTTTAATATTCAAGAATCATCTTCGTCTTACTTGTAACTTGACCATTCATCTAATTTTATTAATTTGATGATGGACAATACACGTTCGTTCTTCTTCTCAATATCTCAAAACATTCCAATGAGTAGGTCTCATTTTGTTTTCGAAAAAGCAAAAGTTAAATCTTTAACAAGTTAAAATATTTATTTAAAGAAATGAAAGTTCGGCATCTATATAACATAAGACATTAGTAGAAGTCTTTTCTACAAACTTTTCTTTTTGTTTTGATATTTTTTCAAAAGACTTCTACTCATACCTTATGTTTTAAAGATGCATGAACTTTCATTTCTTTAAATAAATATTTTAACTTGTTGAAAATTTAACTTCTGCTTTTTCGAAAACAAAATGAGACCTACTCTTTAGAATGCGTTTAGATATCACAAAAACCTGACTACACTCTTTCTTCTGACATATCGATCGTTTTTTAAAGTTTTTTTTCTATACTCTTCGTAGGTAATTAGAAATTTGTCGATCACTCAAGGATGATGCGTTTGTCTTACATCTGATAAATATTCTATCGAAATCTTCTCAAGTTTTCATTATGAATTCTCAAGTCTAGTTTATTTTAATACCTATGGAGAAATATATAATTAGTTACAAAGTTGTAATTTATGATAATCTCGATGAATAATGAAAGAAGAATCTATATTAGTTTATTAGTATCAGATATGTATGTGATAATGAAACTTAGATTTTTGAGAAGAATTAATGAATTGATACGACAAACGAAAAATTCTAGGGGAAAAATACCATAGATAAAACGATGTCAATTTTTTGGTATATTTTATCAAAAGAAAATATTGAAGAGCAACACTATTGACGTACTTCTAAAATTTATTCTTTGTTGAGGCTATTTTTTTCTCATTCTTTAACAGTCATCTTTGGTAAATAAAAAATAATTTATTGCTACAAAAGTAAATAGAGCAGCTAAGTTTTTAATTTGATTACTGTAATCTTTATGACTTACACATATTTATCATCTAGTTGTTCTTTTAAGATTTATACTGAAAACGTAATATATACTCAGCATTATATTATTTTTATGGTATAAGAGTTAAAAAATTAAAGTTTCTTCGCATAAGAGTTTCAATCGACGATGAACTCAGTAAAATAACAAGCTCTAAAATGAAATCATTAATGAAACTATGCTATTTAACATTTTTTTTCAACTGATTTATTAAGATCAATCAGTGTGACGTTTCGTTCTAACTAAGAACATTATCAAACACAAATAAATAGACAGAAGAAGAATATATATAAGAGTAAAATATATTCGTTTTTCTATTCTATTGTTTTAAACATTCTCATGCAGACGGATCAATTTTACTCTCCCCGTGCATTGAAATGCTTAAAACAATAGAATAAAAACCTAAGACATTATTTTACTCTTATATATATTCTTCATCTGTCTATTTATTTGTGTTTGATAATGTTCTTAGTTAGAACAAAACGTCACATTGATTGATCTTAATAAATCAGTTTAAAAAATGTTAAATAGCTTAGTTTCACTAATGATTTTATTATGGAATGTGGTGCTACCAAATGACAAATAAGTTCTATATTATATATTTTTTCTACGAATATCGTATTTTGTCAACTATCTCGATGGAATGTACAAGGAACTTTTCCACAAATACTATCCTAAGAAAAAGCAAAAATAAACGCTGAACGTAAGGTGAAACTAAATCCTCTACATCGTTCAATTCTGAAGACTTCTTCTATTAGAGTTATCTGAATCTTTTTGCTCATGTTTTCTAAGCTCGACCAACGGTCAATGAGAATCCTTATGCACAATTCGTATAGAGTAAATATGTGAATTTCTTCGTAATCTGAATAGTATTTTAGATTAAATTCAGATATCATTCATGTATCTTATCTTTGTGTGCATTCACATCGCTCGCAGAAGTGATGTTTACTTATTGAGCAATCTTCATCGAATGAATGAATGAATGTGCTGAACGAATTTATTTTCTCTTTTGTCCTTCTCTAACGTTATTCTCTTTTCCTTCCTCTTCTCTGAATTTTTTCTTTTATTTCTTGACTTAAATTTTCCTTTTCTTCCCTCTGCTTTCCTATCTGTCCAATTTGATTAAGACTAACAATCAATTACTAAGCATATGAGATCCGTTCTGTTTATGCCACATACATTTGTCGAATATATATTAACCGAAAACATTACTCTCTTTTGACTTAGCTAGAGTTTCTAATTGGATTATGTAGCTCATAATTAATAATGTTGTATTGCTTGTCATAAAACGAGTTTCAATTAGCTCATTTACTGATGAGTCGATAGTTTGTGATGAAAACTCTAATGCATCAATTTTATGTTTGAGAATATTAGGAACTTATAATTTATCGTACGTTTCGAGCTTTGAACATAATCAAAAAATTAGGATTTCAGTGTGAAAATTGAGACTTTAAATCAATAAAATCAACCTGTATTTTTTCGATATTCTAATGTTCGCACCAACACATGATTTTGATTCATATGATGTCAATGTTATGCGGATTCTTACTTTAATCAAAGGAACTTTTTTTCACATAAGTAAATCTACAGCAAATACTTTTTTGAAGTAATTCAGCAGATCAAAAGATAAATGGAAGCTCCAAACGGACTAAATGTCTTTCACCCGTACTATGAAACAATAAAAAATACAAATTCGCGAGAATATAAATAATTATGGGAACCAGTCCCAAAAAACAAATTAATCTACTTTAAGTATTTACAGCTGTTTTCATTGGAAAAGATGATCATAAACATTTCTCACTATCTTTTACGAAGAAGAAAATGACTTATATAACCGTTTCAGAGATTATTTAATGTGAATAACGCTTGGAAACGCTGAGTAGACGTAAAAACGGCAAGAAAAGTGATGATCACGTTTTTTCTTGCCGTTTATCACCGTTTCCTAACAGAACGGGTGATTATGACAGTTTAAACGCCATTTTCAGCGTTTCACTTCTTCCTGGTTAGATGTTGGTGTGGGTGTGCGTGGGGTATGCGTGCGAGTGTCAATGAGAGTGTGAAACCGTGCATTTCACACTCAGTCCAGCAATGCGAACACTGCCTAGACCCACAGCCACAGCCACAGCCACAACCCACCGACGCACTCATCCACACTCACCTATAGGCGCAGCTCACTGACACCCCACTTACACGCACATCGTCAGCCACCCACACCCACCGATACTCGCAGCCACAGCCACAGCGACACGCTCCATCCCCACCCATACCTACTCGTACCCACACCCACACCCACGCACATCCTGACCCACACTCACGTAGCCACAAACACACCCACGCGAACTCCCAGCCGCACCCCACACCCACACCCATCCAGATCGGTACCCCACACCCACACCAGAGTTATAATGTTTCATATCTAGTATAGCAATAGTATATGGAGAGAAGAATGATTATGAGGAACTTTATGCAAAATATCGACTGAAAATTTAGGAATATGAAATGAAATATTAAGAATACAAAAAGAGTTTAGGAGAAGAAATAATACAACGATAAGGCGGATTTATCAATGAATATATAAATTTGCATTGTACAATCATTTTTTTGCATTATTTTTCAACATTATTATGTTCAGTCGATTTATTTCAACAAACTTATTTTTTCAGTAGCAAGAATAGCAAAAAATACTAATGAGAATTCATTAATTTCTACAAATGGTATGGATATTTCTTTATACGACAGGCATAACATCGAAGAAGTAAACAGGGTGTGGGTGTGGGTGTTTATGAAGAAGAGATATTCACCCACACACCCACACCCGCACCCGCACCCACACCCACACCCACACCCTGAAGTAACTCCAGTGCCCATTCAATCAGAACACAATTGTCAGAATACCGTACAGCCATCAAAATCATTAAATGATACATCTCGTTCAACGCAACCAACATCTGTTAAACCTCAAAATACATTGAATTCGACTGCTCATCGACTTCATTCACCATTACCGGAGCATATAAATGGAAAACGACCTCCATCAGGGGCACTCAGTGTTACTGGACTTAACGCTACGATGCCAAATCATCAACCATCTGCAATTGACTCACTACCAGCTGTCGAACTTATCCGATTTGATTAGATATGATATTTTTTATGCGTTTTTCTTCTCATTCTTATAACATTGCGTATCTATATTTTTAAATATCTAATTTTCTTTTTTGATCATCTTACTGCTTCTTCTTATTCATGGCATATATAAACATACATTGACGTTTTTTTACATGTCGAATTGAGTCTTCGATTTTCAAAAACAAATAAAATTTTGTCGTCTTTCTTAACACAGATCTCTAGTTCAACTTTGCAACACATAATTATGATGAATTAAAATATTCGAATTTCCTTAGAATGTATTAGACTACGAAATTTACCTGATACAAGGAAACAACTAGAAATATAGTGCTGACTATTCTCTGAAAGATTAATTGATGCCATTTCTTAATAGAACGAAGCGACTTGAACAATTTATCCATAACGAATGTGTCAAATACTTAGACAAAACTGATATTGATTGATTAGGCGATATAGAATGTTTGTGGTATATGAAAAATGAACAAAATGTTTCGCAAACTGTTTTTTTTTCAAACATTTTACCTATAATACATATAGTTAATTCTTATTCGAATCTGTAAATAAGTAAATATTTTTTATTATGTATGAGAACGGTGGAAGATACATAATCATTTATCAATACTATTTATAAAATTAATCAAAATAATGAACATTAGGGTGGTACTGCCAGTCAACAGGTTTTAACGTTACTAAGTATGCGTCATCAACAAGATGAAATATATCGAATAATTATGTTAAAAATCCAGAAGTACTAACAAATTGATCATATCATAATAATAGTCCATTTAATAGTAAAGTTCTATTTACTAGTCAATCACGCGATAGTTTGCATTAAAAATATAATAAGCTATTTAACTACAAAATGCAACGTCGTTTCTTTTTAACTGGTCATCGTACGTATATATCTCTTTATAGCGAAGCGAAATTACGTAAATAGAAAATGATAATTGACACCGAATTTCAGACGGTGTTAACATTTGATAATAACAGGCGAACAGCATTCAAAACTGATGTAAAAACAGATAAACGGGTGTGTGTTTAAAAGAAGTTTCACATCTCCACACCCAATCGATTTCTTGATAAGAAATCGTACGGACTTAGCAAAGATCTTTGCAAGTTATTGTTTCGTCTGTTTATTCATGTTTAATAATTGAGAAACTCTTGAGAAATCATTCATGAATCATAAACCTCACAGATTTCGTTAGGTTTCACTCAGAATCCGATCCAGGATTTGTATGAGTTCTTTTTCAAACAATTGTCTGCATTGAGGTTTTAAAATCATGCGAAGATTCATTGTTATTTCTATTCAGGAACTTGAAAATAATAATAAAGGAAATTTTATCAAAATTTCATTCGATTTGAATTAAGATCAGTTCAGAACTCTGATATGAAGAGTCAGACAAGGATTATATCATGACGACATCAAAATTGGTCAAAATCTTTGACTATGAAGGTGTGAGTGTCAGTGTTAGTGTGATTGCATAGAAGCGTGTGAAGCATGCACATATCTACATCCACACCCTAACATTGTTGAAGACAATAACTAATATTTTATTTTTATTTTTCTTCTTTTGTGTTTGTTTCATATTTTTATTATTTTTATTGTCTATTGTTGAATTCTCCGTCTTTCTTATTTCCACCATCATCAGAATGAATATAGCATGACCATTACTATTAATGATAAAATATTTTTATGGTTGAGTTTAAATAGCGAGCTATTCAAGCATATAAAAACATGAAAGGTAAGTTAATTGTTGTCTTGTTTTGAAAAAATAAAAAAAGAAACTATTTTTTCGTTGGAAATTATATATACATAAACATACATTTACTTATAGAATATATATGAGATCTTGATGATGTGAATGATGTTGTGGATTATTCTTGATTCCGAATAATTATTTTGGAAGAGAAAAGTCACAATGAAATCTGATTTGAATAAATGTCAGTCTAAATTTTTCTTACGAAAGGTGAAATGATTTCTTTTTCATTTAGTTGACATTTTTTCGTAATAAAATAACTTACCTTGATCGTTAGTAAAATAAAAAAGGGGGAGAAAAGAGGCGGTTGAAGCACATGGAAGAAAAATAAAGTGGTATTATATTCATTTATGCAGGAAAAAAAACAATTTTCTTTTTTTTACTCCTACTATCAATATATTTGATGAGGGAAAGGTGAATAGTAGAGTGAAGAATAAGGTAACCATTCATTAGCATATTTTTTCTCTTGTGATTGCACACATATTGAAATATATTTCATGGCCGGTGTCGCGAAACTTTTTGACGGACATATTCTTGATAAATCAAATCAAGAAGTTCATCTTAATGATGAAAAATATAAAGGAAAAGTAATTGGAATTTATTTTAGTGCTCATTGGTATGTTTAAACTTTTTGTTTATGTAATACAAATAGATTTTTCCTTTCTTAGGTGTCCACCATGCCGTGGTTTTACTCCTATATTAATTGATTTTTATAAAAAACATAGTGAAGATAAAAATTTTGAAATTATTTTCGTTAGTTCAGACAGTGATGAAGAATCGTTTAATGATTATTATAAAGATATGCCTTGGTGGAAATTGGATTATAAAGAAAGAGACAAACGGAATGAATTAGCAAGTTCATTTAAGATTTCTGGAATACCAGCTTTGATTTTATTAGATGGTGACTCCGGTGAAATTATTTGTAATAATACAAGAGAACAAATTCAATTTCAAGATAAGAATGGAGAAAACTTTCCATGGAAAAGTGAAACACATGCAAAAGCATCTAATTCGTGTATTTTATTTTAAATATTTTTTTTTTCTTTCGAAATAAATATGATGAGAAGCAGGGCTCTCGATTGTTTTTGAGAGTGGTGGGGGCTAATGCTTTTTAGGAGACAGCGTTTACAAATTTTCGCAGACAGTCATTTCAATTACAATTTTTCGTGTTCAGATCTGCATCGTTTCTCGTGAATTTCCACAAACCAGCACTTGCTTCAGTTTTCGATTTCAACTTTAAATCTCTTTTTTTAAAACTCGTTTCTTACATTTAAACCAAATTCTGTCATTGATCGAGCCCTGATAATTAGTTAATAACAATCAAAAAACACAAATCGATATATTTATTCATCTTATCCCAAAAGACAAAAAGTTAACGAAAAAAAAATATTTACATAACAATATAATTATTATTATCAATTGAAGTCTTCATCGAGTTTTCTTTCTTTGTCGTTATTGTCATCAATAAAAACCTTTATATTACGACGTTTGGCCTGTTGAGGATTGTTGATAAAATCTTCGATGATAAATTGTATAGCATCGTCTGATAAATTAACTTTCATAGCGGACATCTTAACTAAAACTTCCAATGTTGTATCACTTAAACTATTACGTAACCATGACTTGATTCGTCTTAAGGTACTAAATGTTCTTTCAGCTTCATTAGATCCCACGGCAAACGTTGCCAATATTTGAAATAAATTGTACCATTCAGAACATTGCTCACTTCCATGTTCTGCAAGACGTTTTACAATTGCTGTAATTGATGTGACATCACCGACAATGGTAAGAAAAGCAAATGCGTCATCTTTCAATTTTTGATAATTTAACAGAGGTGGATCAGTACGTTCATATGTTTGTCGGTTGACAGCAACATGTCTGTATGACATTGATGAACAATATTGTGCTATTAATGGATTTTGAAGTAATTGTTCGGCAGAGTACTTAAATGGTGATGATAATATAGCAATATTTTCTATTAATTGTTTTGCTTCAGCATTAAATCTATCATCAAGTGATTGAAGAAAACTATTAATGAATGTCTTACCCATAGCACGACATTGTTCTTCATCAAAATCTGTAGATAATTCTTGGTGTTGAAAACGTGTTGATGGAAATGTTGGTTGTATCGCAGGTAAATATTGTTGAATATCATTTAATATTGATCGAATTTGGTTAAAGTCAAACATTTCAACTACTTGTTTAATTGTATTTCTAGCAGCATCTACATGAATTGAAAATTCATCAAGACCAGAACCACGTTTCTCAATTTGACGTAGAAATTTCAATGCTGGACGTAATGCATCACGCATAAGATGTATTTGAAAAATAACTGTAGGTTTCATAAGATCCAATGCAAATCGTCGACCATCTGATGACCCATTTGCATTGTACTGTGAAATTGTTGAAAGTGTAATGATAATAGCGGTGTAATGTTTACACATAAATTGTAGAAGTTCATAAGCATAAGACCACCGAGTTTCACTTGATTTTGGAACGGTTTGTTCTAATAAAAAATTAGTGAAATAAGAAATTATACTATAATCATCATTATATTTGTAAAAATCCTACCTTTTTTGTTGGAGTTGGTGAGTTTTTGACTTTCAAATAAAACTTGTAGACGATGTGGACTGTCACGTAAGAAAACTAAAGTTGAATGAACCGTGTCATAAGTGTCATACATTGAATTTTCAATAGCATCTTCAACGCTTAAATTTAAAAGATGTGATCAACAATAGATATAAATACCCCATGCTGATAAACGGCTACGAATGTGTCCTTGTGCTTGATGACGCATAGCAGATGCGTCATCATATGTTTGTGCTGTAATAATTAATTCTTTATCAACATGTTTTTGAAGGCATTCGATGAATTATTGTGCAAGATTGAATACACCTTTAAGTAGGAAACGAAGCGATAATATAAGTCTGATTTGATAAAGTTAATTACCTTCTCCAGTGGAATCAATGATCGGTTTTAACATAAATAATTGTTCACAAATCTTGCCTGTATCTTCTTCTACATACCGTAGACACAAACATAACATTTGTTTAGTTGTTATATCACGAGTTTCATCCATAATGATATTAATATATCGAGTTTTTTTAACAGAAGAAGTTTGAAGATGATGAAGATACTTATTAATACTTAATAACCATTCGGCCAAGGGGGAAAAAGCGGATCCTCGAATCCTTGGATCCTCTGGATCCCTTTGGATCCTTTTGGATCCTCTTGGATCCTCCGGATCCTTTTGGATCCCAGTTTGGATCCTTTGAGATCCTAGGATCCAAAAGGATCTCAAAGAATCCAAGAGGATCCAAAAGGATCCAAAAGGATCCAGAGGATCCAAAGGATCCGAGGATCCGCTTTTTCCCCCTTGCATTCGGCCATTGCTTCCCAACTCCAATATCTGAAGAAAAAAGTGAGTACATTTCCTATAAAATGAAAGCTCAAAACTGACCGCTCTTTCACATTAGAAATGTTGAACCAATTGACAATATCCGGACATGGAACATCATAAAGAAATTGAATTAATGGTTTAAATTTTGAGAATGGCATTTCTTCTCTTATAATTTTCCAAAGAGTTTGGATGAGAATAGAAAGATATTTTCGTGTTTGTATATCTAAATTGACACATTGTAATTGACCAGCTACACTACCATTAACTGCAGCAATTTTTGAAGCCGCTCGTCGATCAGCACATGTTTTATGAAGATCACTATTTTTATGTTTTGTAATACCTAATTAAGAAAATTTACAAAAATTCTAATAAAACAAGTTTGAATTCTTACCTTCTAATCCTTTGTGCTTTAATGTCCAATATGGCCTTACAACAAATGCACCATTACTTTTTTTTAATTGCTGCTTCACTTGATGCAAATTCAGCACAATCAATACACAATAAACCATATTGATTACCTGTACGAATGGCACGGAGCCATGGATGCTCATTTGAAAACCATGCTGGACTTGGTTTAACAGACGGTAAATTATCATTTGTGTTCCACGCTATATGTGGATATTTAACACCATGTGCCTGAACAAAAGTCATTTCATGAGCATTAATGAATCTCACACCTTTAATTGATGTAATGACATTATCTGATAAATTCGATAATATGTTGACTGCTGATTGAAGTGACACTAAAGGTTGGTTATAATTACTTTGAGCCTCATAATTATTTGTCATGTTTGAATCCGAGTCTAACGAGGACTCATCATCTTGAATAATTATTTCTTCATGATATTGTTCCAAATGAAAATCTTAAAAAGAAGAAAATTGAAAAAACTCTGACATTTTATTAGTAACTCACCTTTATTGAAAGTGTGATTTTCGTCTGTTTTATTTGGATTATCATATTCATCGATTGTAAACGCTGATCTCTTCTTGTTTTCACTCGTTGTACCACGTACTGCTAAAAATAAAAAGCTATTTGGCATTGGTAGTTAGAAAAATTGATAAATATTATCTGTCAGACTTGATTCATTTTTAGAGTTAGTCAAAATATTGGTTTGGTCATTAATAATAATTTCACTGGTACAAGTACTATCGTTTATATTTTGTTGTTCAGAATTTGATACTGTTGCAGCAAATCTTTTTGTAGAAAAAAAGTTATGGATAACAATAGGTATAGGTGTATTATGTGATGAACTGGATGTTGCTTGTAATCGTTCATATTTTGCTTGAATACTTTCTTCGGTCATTGTATGTTTGTGACGAGCATGATCTTTCCAATTTTTTTTGCCATTCGTTTACCACAATCAGGACAAATTATTTCTGTGGATACTGTTATAGTAGCCATGTATGAACGCACAAGAAATTGATATAAGTGTGTGTATCAAATATACGTCATGAAAAAGAAAGTTGACTGATATCAGTATAGACGGTCAATTTTTATTGTCTATCGTTCTGTTTCTTAAATGTTAATTTAATTACAATCACACACTCATTCTGATATTCAGTGAAATTGTTTTGTTTATTTGAATGCAGATAAAAAGGATTGCTTTGATGCCATTAAAAACAGCATTTTCTACATGATTCAATAGATGTTATACTCGTCAAATTAGGCACATAATACACACTATGCGTCAGAACGAAACGAACAGAAATTCTGTATTGTCTGCCAGATTCGTCAGAAACTCAAGCATATCAGAAAATTTCACAGACACATATTGAAAAAAACTCTGGCAGACACAACAGGGGCGTGATGGGGGCTAGCCCCCACCATCCCCCACCACATCGAGAACCCTGATGAGAAGTGTACAATGATGTTTACTTCTTGAATGTACATGACGGTATTTCGAATGATCTGAAACAAATATTTAGCATATTGCTGATTGAAAGATTAATTTATTTGAAGAGACCATCAGTATACAACTTAACCAGGGTATGGGTTTTGGGTATGAATGTTTATCTTTAATATATCCGCAGCCACACCTCCGCCCTCACATTCACAATCACACCCTCAGAGGTAAGTTGCTCTATTGACATCTACACTAGCTCTCAACATCAAAAAAAAGCAATAGAAAGAGAAAATATTTATCTCTAGGAAGCATTGTATTTAAGCGACGACCGCTCTTGCTCAATCGACTTCACCAAGTTTGTTCTTATTTTTACAGTAAATAGCTCTTGCCATGTTAGCAAAAATCTCAAAGTTTCAACTCAAACAGAATAACCGCTCTCAAGATATACGATCAAAAAGTATTGCTGCTTTTAAAAATTTCTCAATCTTTTAGTGCAGCGCTTGTTTAGTATAGGTTGATTTTCCCACGAACTCTATAAGAGTTATTGCAACCATTTTTGTACCATAGATACTATTGAACATTGACTATTTGATAATGGAAATGCGAAAGTATATTATCTTGAGACAAAGTTTGGTCATTACCATATATCATCATGAGAAGCCATCCTGATGTGTGTAGGGACGCTTAGTCAAATCAGTTTAATGAAATACTTTGAAAATAGTCTCATGCAAAAGAGCAGATCATAATGCATAGTGTGACATTCTCAAAAATTCGGCATATTGAATTTAGTCACATAAAATGTTTTTACGAATCATTCCACGTAAGCCACAACCGATCCATAGAGAAGTTGCTCAAATGAGGTGCTCAAATTTTTGTCAATCGAAGTTACTTTGATAGAGAGAAAAGTTTCATGAATTTTGACGCAAGACGTTTCGAAAAATACTGAACTGTTGAATTTTTATGGCTATTTTACGAAAAGTAGAAAAAATCAGCATTATCGCCAACGGGGGTTCTAACACGACAATATTTCAAGAATGGAATTACCGATTGGGCTGAAATTTTCTATGGATATATATTTTCAGAAGTTATGTCTACCATATAAGTTTGAGATGAAACAGTAGAGCCGTTGAGTTTTTATGCCTCATCCAGAGTGAGGAAAAATTCGTATTTTGGGAAACTTTGGTACTTCATAACTCGCAATGGGAATCTGATAGAAGTCTGACATTTTCATTCGAGCTAGAGCATCTACCAATATATACCTCCTTAAAATGTCAGACGCAATAGAGGCTTCCTTTGGACTAGTGGAATGCTTCGAAAATTGGGCTTTTGATGAAAGTCACAATTTTGCAGACCCGATTTTCTCCCAAGAAACCAGCTTGTTTGAGGGTTGAGATTAAGACGCTGGAAGAGTCATTTGATGTGTACAAGTTCATAACAAAATCAGTCGAGGATTTCGAGAAACGGCTTGCAGCAAGGGTCATCTTTAGGAGCTCAAAATGAATATTTGGCCGCGGTCATATATAGAAATCTCATGATGGGATCAGGCTAGAGAGCTGAAGATTTGACTATAAATAGATCTCATTGAGTAGGTATTCTGATACAGAATTCAACTCTCTAGATAATTTCTATCGCCTATAGAGTCTTCAACAAAATCAAGACTTCTGCTACAATCACGATTTTGACAAGGTTCGATTTTCGTAGAAGTGGATCTTATAGGAGTCAGGCTTGTGCTACTTCGAAGAACACATATAGTACTACAAAACTATGTAGGAATTAGCTTGGACTCTTTCACAATTGTTTGGAGAGCCGTATCCAAGCATACCTCAAAAATGACTCCTTTCTATAGAGCATATAACCGAGTTCCTTTAGAAGATGGTAGAAAAATACTTAATTTGAAATAAATTCTATCAGATAAGTGAGTATATGACACCTAGGGTGTGGATGTGGGTGTGTGGGTGTGTGGGTGTGGGTGTGGGTGTGGGTGTGGATGTGGATGTGGGTGTGGGTGTGGGTGTGGATGTGGATGTGGGTGTGGGTGGGTGGGTGGGGGTGTGGGTGTGTTAGTGTGGGTGAACTAAAGACTCACACCCACACTCACACCCAACTACACCCACACCCACACCCACACCCACACCCTCACACCCATACCCACACCCACACCACACCCACACCGACACCACACCCGCGCCACACACCCACCCACACCCACACTCTGAACGCGTTCGTATTTGGCTCGCGTTTGGACGCGGTCTTGTTTCAAAACGCGGCTCCAGTGAAACATTTCTTGTGTCTAGACGTGGTCGGAATAACCGCATCCTGACGCGTTCCAATTGAAATTAAAAAAATTAAAAAATAAAATATCAATTCATCTCAGATTCGAGCTGAGGCGCCATCAATGTCATGTCGTGATGGTCTTAGCTTACTTTGGCGAATGAATTGAATTTTTACTTTAAGCGATGAAAGTCAGAATTGAACAAGTGAACCATCGATCAGAAGTCGTACATATACACCACTGAGCTGTACTAGCTCGAAATGTTTTCTCGTTCAAGACGAAATGTATTTGAATCTTCACATTACTACTTAAATTCATCAGCGCAGTGACATTTACTTCTACCTATGCAAAATATACAACGCTTCATGTAATTTTTTTCTTACAAATTTAACAGTTTAAAATGCAATGGCAGATTTTTTGCCTTCTTCTGATCATAATTATATTAAAAAAAAATTTTTGAAATAATATTACAACTGTAATATCGCGGATAATTTTATTCAAAACACTACAAGTAAAACCAGTATTGTACTATATAGTTGAATTATAATGATCATTTATTATCATACAATTTAATCAGTGTTATTCGTAAGATGGGCTAAAAATCATGGGTGAGCTGGAAGATCGGTATAAGCAATTTCATCTACTATCTATAAAAGTTGTGCAATAGCCTATGTTTTATTTATATTTTGCACATGATTGCGTTTTCTCCATTTCTACGCGTGTTGGAAAATTTTTTTACCTTTAAAATATTCAATGAAATTTCAATGAATCAGACACATACCATCAGTGTATTCGAGCTGAATTATGTGTTTTTCGTGAAAGATACATATCCGTCCGACTGTTGAAAAAAATTTTCAAATGCATTCTGATGGATTTTACTCTTAATTCTGTCGTCAACACCATATTTTTTGCATTCATACTCTTTCGAGCTAGAACAGCGTCTGAACACATTTACTAGACAATTGATGAATATTTTTTAGAGTGCAAACGCGTCTGGACACAATCACCAACAACGTTCCAGCCGCATCAAGATGGAGCTGAAGCATTAAACACGCCTAGACACGGTTAAGAATCTTTTTCAATTGCATTTAGATGCCTTTTATGTAAAATTGCGTCTAGTCGCATTTTTAACATTTTCTTAACTGCGTCTAGACGCACTGCAAAGTTGTTTTTAACCGCATCTGGACGCAGTTTATAGCAAAACCGCGTTTGAGCGCGGCTATCTTGTGATTTTTACTTATATGGGAGTGCGTTTGCACGCAGTTTCATAGAAAACCGCGTCCAATCACAATTCAAAATTTTTTATGACTGCGTCTAGACGCGTTTGATCTGCAGTCGCATTCAAACGCGGTTAAAAAACGATTTTAACAGCGTGCAAACGCGATTTCATTTAAGAACGCGTCAAGACGCGCTTGGAAACTTTCTTTAACCGCGTATGGACGCGGTTGCAATAAAATCGCGTCTAGACGCAGTAAAAATCGATTTTAGCCGCGTCTGAACGCAGTTTACAATAAAACCGCGGTGGGATGCGTGTAGTTTGCGTTTGGTGTTTACATGGGGTGAATATGTGCGAGAGCATAAGATGCAGGGTATTATCTTGTTCTGTGCAAGCTAAGATGAACGAAACTTAGTGCATAAGTGATTTTTTTTTAGGTCTAGAAAGTATTATTTATATGAGAGAGAATCGGACAAGTCCACAAACATGCACTACTTGTTCAATGTATCCATAAATTGCACATGGACAACAGATGATTATTTAGCAGAGAAATCACTTGAAGATACGACAAGAGAACGATGTTCCTGTACCAACTCTATCAACACCCGCATTTCTTCACTTTGCTTTTCAAGTGCCTCTTGTAACTGCTTTATTATTGCATCTTGCAACCGTGTTTGTTGCTCTTGTTTTTCGACGATATCGTCAAGCTGCTGAATAGACCTAGTTTTCTCTCGAATTTCTTGTTCTTGTTTTTGTATGAGTTCTTTTAAATGTGTTATTTCACTTTGCATCTGTGCTGAGTCAGGTACGCTAGATGTCAATACAATCGATTGAGAATTTGACTTGGGTTGCTTTCGTTCGACTAGAAGCTGAAGCTTTTTCTTTTCTTCATATGTAATAGAACAATTATTGTAATCGTCGTCATTAAAATTAATCAAATCAGCACCAGCAACACGTGCATTTCTCAGTTTT